TTAAAGGGGTGCAGTGATGCTACCACCTGGCAGCTTCTTCAAGGTCTGGCAGGGCTGCAGGTTGGCTAGGAAAGAGAGGTGCTGATGGCAGCAGTAGTGCCACAGATTCCTCCCCTTCCTACCATCATTGCTTCCCTTTCCTGCCTGACTGGCTGCCAAGTGGCAGAAGCATCCACCAGGAGCCGCACCTTCTTCTCTGCTGCCCTGGTTCTCTTTGTCAAGAGAAGTGTGAATGGGTGGGTGCCAGTCCCTTCTCCATTGTATTTGCTCCCTCTACGGAGAGAGTCATGGCCACAGAGAACCCTGAATGAGTGGGTGCCAGTCCCTTCTTCTCCACTCCTTGGTTCCCTTGGCTGAGCCATGGCCATGGAGAAGCCTGAATGGGCAAGCACCACCCCTTTCTTTTCCACTCCATTGGTTCCCTTGGCCAAAGAAAGGTACAGCCCTGGAGAAACCCAAACTAGAAACCCCATTCTCCCCTCCCGCTGCTTCACTTATCCATCTCACTTGCCCCTGGCAGCCCTTTCTGGATCTGGGCAGATAAGTGGGTGGCCAGGTGAGTGAGGCAGTGGGAGGGTAGGGAAGGCCACCAACACCCAGTAGCCCTTTCTGACACTGAGTGACACCGTTGTAAGAGTTATTGTCCAGTCAAAGTAAAGTATTTTTAAGGCTCGTTGACTTCAAATAAAGAAAGAAGCATCTGCTTTAACACCCACTGGAACCAGTAAGACTAAAACCTTCATTTGGTAGGGTTCTCAAGTCATTATGTCCAAAATAGTTCAAAACCATCTGGTTCATCTGAATTGTATGTATTGGCTCTAGTACCCAGAGCAGATGGACAGCTTTTAAGTGTTATGAAATTAATAATACTTTCACATTGTTGGAGTGGCAAATATAATAAGATCACTTGGGTTTCAGAATTTCCTGTGAGACCCTCCAGCTAAGGAGGATTACAGCTTCTAGAAAAACAAAACAGGAATGATATGCATGGACATGAAAAACAATGTTAACGAACAAGAAGACATGCCACTCTTTGGGCAATTCCTATCTAAGCAAGAGAGCTCCCAACAAATAAAATCAATTTATTTTATCTATACTTGCACAGTGCTGAATTCTGAAACTAAAATTTAAAATTCAGAATGTCAAATAGCAAAGGATTTTCTAATCCTTCCTCCCCAAATGTAGCATATATTGTATGCTCCAATTTGCATTGCAGGCTGTTCCTCTCAATGACTGGGATGATCTGGCACAGACTGCTTGAGATTAGGGAGGCATGAGAAATTCATCGGCTTCACTTTCTAATGGGGGATTACCTTTTAGCACAATAGCACCATAGATCCAAATGCAATTTGTGGTCTGAAAAATGGATTTGGACAAATGTATACATTTTTAAAATTCACACTGGAAAATGAGTACCTTGGAGGAAAGGCATAAAAATACGCTTTGATTGTTGGGAGAACAATTTTTGCAAATGGTTAATTTCAAAAATGTCCATAAAAGTATTCCATCTTAAGAAAAACACATGAAAATATACATAAAAATACATACAGGCAGAGGAATTAGCAGCAGAGCTACAACATAGTGTAGTTCTTTAAATCTAGGAGTAGGACACTGGGAAACAGCCTGTGTGGCATAGTGGTCTGAGTGTTGGACTATGACTCTAGAGACCAGGATTCAATTCCCACTGGCTGACCTTAAACAAGTCATATGCTCTCAGCCTCAGGGGAAGGTAATGGCAAACCTCTTCTGAACAAATTTTGTCAGGAAAATCTCATGATAGGTTCGCCTTAGCGTCATCATAAGTCAGAAATGACTTGAACACACATACAACAACAACAACAACAACAACAGGACACTGGGAGACCAAATCCTCAACCAACCAGGGGAACTCGCCAGTTGACCATTGACAAGTAGCACTCTCCCAATGGCAAACTTCCTCTGAATAAACCAAGAAAATGCTATGAGGGTCTCCATAAGTTCCCCTAAATGAAATGGTTTTTAGTTCCCTATGCACAACCTTCCCATGAACAGATGTTCTGGGTGACAACTCTCATCATCACCACCCAGCATCACCAGTTCCTGTGCTGGCTAAGGATGAGTAAAGTTACAAACAGATGTTCTGGGTGACAACTCTCATCATCACCACCCAGCATCACCAGTTCCTGTGCTGGCTAAAGATGAGTAAAGTTACTGCCCAACATGTCCGTTGGATGCCAGGTTGCAAAAGGCTGCTGTGTCATAACAAAGCCTGAAGTATATATAGCTGAGCTAAGCAGATATCCTTTTCTTTTTTCTTGTCTTATTTCTCTCCTTGTCATCTTGTTTCTGCCTGTTTTTAGACTGTAAGTCCCTTGAATCTGAGATCTATCCTGTTGTAAAATAACATGGACGTGGATACAATTGTATAAGTCTTTGTACCACCTGTGAGAATCAGGGTGGTATAGTATTCTGAGTGTTGGACTAGGACTCTGGGAGACCAAGGTTCAAAGCCTCACTTGACTATGGAAACCCACTGGGTGACCTTCGGCAAGTCACCCTCTCTCAGCCTCAGAAGAAGACAAAAACAAACCTCCTCTGAACATATTTTGCCAATAGAATTCTAAGATATGTTCATGTTAGGATTGTAGTAAGTCAGAAATCATTTCAAGGGAACAATGACAACCACCCCTGAAATATAAGATTGGACCTAGAACTTAGAAAATGTCTTTTTAAATACTACTACTACTACTACTACTACTACTACTACTACTAACAACAGCAACAACAACAATAATCATGACAAGTCCAAAAAATCCTCTTATGTCAGCTGGGTGATTCTGGTGGTCCACAACATTATTCACCCCACCTCCCTGAAACCCAGATAAAATGAAAGGTTCTTTTCTGCATACAGAGGATATCTATTCAGTAAACAATTGTCTTGAACTTGATGAATAAAAACAACAAAGCTAACTCTAGTTATGTCCTTCTGCCTGCATATTTATTTATTTATTTATTTATGTATGCCAGCAAAATCAAGGAACACACCACTGATGACACCACAGCAGACTCTTTTGTGCTGCGGATAACTACTCTGACTCTTGGATCCAATCCATAACATGTGAAAGATTTATGTTATATCTGGATCCACTTCCAAGAAATACATGGTCATGCTGAGCTGCTTTGGCTAACTGTTGGCTTTGGCTAACTGTTGGCTAACATGGGGCTTTGTTGGAAGAAGGCAGCAGCAACAGCCCTTCCAATTTCTAAGCTGGTGATATATGAGTGCTCCTGTCAATTAGAATTATGACATAGGGAAGCAAAGCTCCCTGGGAAGCTGCTGCCTGGATTGCCCTAAATTAAACATCACATACCATGGGCAACATGTGTCAGCTGTCTGTCTCTGTTTAATGGCTTTCCATTTCAAGGCTTCCAGTGCTACCTTTTGTACAATCTTGCTTTTGGAAGAATCATAGAATCATAGAGTTGGAAGAGACCACAAGAGCCATCCAGTCCAACCTCTGCCATGCAGGAACTCATAATCAAAGTATGATTTGATGGCCATCCAGCCTCTGTTTAAAGTCCTCCAAAGAAGGAGACTCCACCACACTTTGAGGGAGTATGTTCCACTGTCGAACAGCTCTCACTGTCAGGAAGTTCCTCCTAATATTGAGGTGGAATCTCTTTTCCTGCAGCTTGCATCCATTGTTCCGGGTCCTGTTCTCTGGGGCAGCAGAAAACAAGCTAGCGCCCACCTCAATATGACATCCCTTCAAATATTTAAACAGGGCTATCTTATTCCCTCTTAACCGTCTCTTCTTTAGGCTAAACATACCCAGTCACCTAAGTCATTCCTCATAGGGCATGGTTTCCAGACCCTTCACCATTTTAATTGCCCTCCTCTGGACACACTCCAGTTTTTCAGCATCCTTTTTGAATTGTGGTGCCCAGAACTGGACACAGTATTCCAGGTGGGGCCTGACCAAAGCAGAATACAGTGGTACTATTACTTCCCTTGATTTAGATACTATAGTTCTACTAATGCAGCCTAAAATTGCATTGGCCGTTTTAGCTGTGGCATCACACTGTTGACTCATGTTCAACTTGTGGTCTACTAGGACTCCTAGATCCCCTTCACACGTAGTCTCATTAAGCCAGGTGTCCCCCATCTTATACTTATGCATTTCATTTTTTGCTCTAAGTGCAGTACCTTACATTTCTCTGTATTGAAATTCATTTTGTTAGCTTTGGCTCAGCTTACTAAACTATTAAGGTCATATTGAATTTCCATCCTGTCTTCTGGGGTATTAGCTATTCCTCCCAATTTGGTGTCATCTGCAAATTTGGGAAGCATGCCCCCTATTCTTTCATCCAAATCATTGATAAAGATGTTGAAGAGCACTGGGCCCAGGACAGAACCCTGTGGCACCCCACTGGTCACTTCTCTCCAGGACGAAGAGGAGCCATTGCTTAGCATCATTTGGGTTTGGTTAGTCAACCAGTTACTAATCCACCTAACAATAGTATTGTCTAGCCCACATTTTACTATCTTGTTTGCAAGAATATTGTGGGGGATCTTGTCAAAAGCCTTACTGAAATCAAGATATGCTATGTCTACCGCATTCCTTTCATCTAGCAAGCTGGTAATTTTATCAAAAAAAGAGATCAGATTAGTCTGGCATGGCATGTTTTTGAGAAACCCATGTTGACCTTTAGTGATTATGGCATTCCTTTCTAAATGTTCACA